CGCAGAACATGCGCGTTTCCAACATTTTGTGTTGCATTATTACACGAAGTCATAACCTTAAGATCTTCTAATCCTAGTGATTTATTTCGTTTCAGAACGACCACCATTATCCTGGTCTGAAGTGAGGCTCTTATTCCTCTATGACAACTGTGATGGTCTGGAACTCAAACTAAGCGAATTTGGGTTCCAAACTGAAAAATATCTTCGGCCTCGAGGAGCCTTGCTCAACAAGACGATCTTCCACGCAGCGGTGGAGCTCAAAGCCTCAAAATGTTTGAAATTTTTACTTAAAAAGATCAGGAAATCGACTTTATTGGACGAACCTGATGCTAACGGAAGCACAGCACTCCATTCTATCGCAACCAATGAATCAGCTGTGACACCAGACCTTCTGGTGATGCTGTTAGAAGCAGGGGCCTTTGTCAACGCCCAGGATGATGACGGTAATACATTGCTCCACAAAATAGTGATGAAAATCACCGAGGAAACGTCCGTGCATTACAACACAATTGCTGAAATTCTACTGAAAGATGACAACATCGATACCAATTGCCCTAACGTGGCAGATATTACGGCTCTGGATGTCCTTGAGTTGAAGATTCAAAATTCAAGCGATCCCAATTCACTACGTGATCTTCATCAAATGATATGTACCGCTTCGAAAAAGACATCGAAAGATAATTCCACTTTAATTGAATTGTTGAGAGTAACTGGAAAAATCGACCGTACTTGGACCATTGATGTAAGCCAAGTCTCATCTACAGCCCGGTTCAGGCCGTTCATTGGTTCCAAGACGGTTCTGTTTCAATCGGTACTGAAATTAGAATCTAATGCCGTTCATTCTCTGCTAAGAGAAGGCCATGACCCTTGGGTTCGAAACTCTGATGATGGTAAAATGCCTCTGCACGCCGCGTTGTCCATCGGCGATCATATCTTGGTTCGGGATTTGATAAAAGCAATGAAGAAAATTCGGAATACTGAAACTCTTGATCTCCGGTCAGACAGCTTCAGCCTTTTGCAGTGTGTTCTGTGTAACTGTAAAGGCCAGTGGGAAGAGTGTCATGAGAAGAGTTTGGAAGCGTTGTTGCAAGAAGACATAATCCTAAATCGAAAACAAACGTCCCCAAGTGGCGCAGATGCGCTAGATTTAGCCATGAACTTGGGGTTCACCTCAGCAGTGTCCAGCTTGCATCCTGAAATTCAAAACTGGATGACCCCGCGGCAAAGCGCTAATCACTCAGGAGGTGAGGCGAAATACCTCATATGTTTACACTCAAGTGTACAAGTTATTGCTTATATGCCCATCTGTCTCTTGGTGTTTCAGATATGTGTACGATGTTTTTGTACATGCTTATACACATTTAGATTTATCATTTTGCTATCCATGGAATTCAGTCATGATTATATTGGTCTAAAATTATTGAATTTCGATGCGCTGTTAGATAGATTAACATACTCCTAATCATATTCAGAGAAAATTTAAAAATAATTTCAACCTTCCAGCACTGATGAATGCTTGTAATTTCATTCAGAAACGGTTTATTTGCTAGCAGTCATTTTCGATTTTTTTGCAGGTTTTGAGGGAGTGAATTGGGCAACCATGGAACAAATCCTGGAACGAGATGACGACGTTGCCCTTCAAGTGGAATTCGCCAAGTGCGGAAACCCTAGAATCACGAGCTCGTGTCCAATTCCATCGATCAAGCGCGGAACGATTTTCCATGTGGCGGTGCGTTATGCTTCGGTCAAATGCGTTCAGTACCTCATCCAAAAAATTCACCAAGCACAAGATCTAGATTTCCCAGATTCGTACGGACGAACCGCATTGCACCTGGCGGTCGATTTTGGAGCTCACGAAGAAAGTTGCAGGCTCTTGCAGATCACGCGGCTTCTTGTGAACGCGGGGGCGAATGTCAATTCAAAAGACAACATCGGCAGCACTCCTTTGCATTTTTTGGCCCAGCGCTGTGTTAATGTCGATCCAAAGTGTGTCGGGAACTTCAAACAAATTCTTGAGACTATTCTCCTCGCACGAGACTCGGACCCCGGGGCACTAAATGGTAATGGCGAAATAATATTGGAATTGTTGCCAAGAAAATATGTCGGACCGAAGTCGGTCATTGATGAAATTCTCGTCGATCATTTTAGGCAACGGTTTGAAGAGGTCATGGAAGAGAAACACTTGGAAGATTCGATTATACGTACAATTGAAAATTGTATCGTGTCACACAAGCTACAGTTACTCGAGAAAACAATCTTGAAGGATGCCCACTCGGTGCCTGAAACCGAGAGACATGTTTTCAACCGATTCGTGGGAGCGAAACCTGTGTTGTTTTTCATCGTAAAGCACATGAGTGAAGAAGTGGTTGAAGCCGCGCTGAAACTTGGCATGGACCCATGGATGCGATCAACAGACGAGGACAAAATTGCTCTACACTTGGCACTTCAGAAAGGAAACCCAAAGATCGTGGAACTTCTACTTAAGTTCATGGGTGATGACCAGTCGTCTCTCACACATGAGAAAAGTAAATACATCAGCAACCAGAGTTTCAATCTGATAAAAGATGTAATATGTAATCGAAGTTCGAATTCTCTACAGTCGCTTGACATCAACCATGATCATTGTCTGACCATATTGCTCAGTTCTTCGTTCCACTTTGAAGTAAATCAAAGGCCCAAGGCTTTGGGTCCATCTCTCTTGGATCTGGCGGTCACCACTGAAAGTTCTTTTGCCCAGCAGAACCTGGAACGACGGGGAGCGTCAAGATCTTGGTTTCCGTGTGGTGAGTTAATAACTTACAGTCTAGCGCTTTCTATTATCATTCCATTGCAATAATTACTTCCTTCACATTGTTCTCCAACCTCTGCAAGTAGAAGTTAATATTCTCTCTTAAAGCTTCGTCGGATACATTTTTAACTTCCTCACTGGATACATCGCTTCAATTTAGGGAGTTTAGCTCGGATTATTAAATTTCACTTCAAGTAAAACATTAAACTGAGGTACCAAATAGCAGAGTTTACGTTTTATGTGGCTGTGTACCGTTTTAATTGAAAGTTCAAACTTCATCATATAGATGAGCACAATTTTTTAGAATTTCCAGTTGACAAATAGTTTTTTTTCAGGATCTGAAACCCTGTCATGGCAACGGATCTCAAAACTACTGTTGTCGGACAGGAGTGACGATTTGGCAATGGATCTTGCTTTGAGGGGTAATCTCCTGACTAATGAGATTCTGAGACCTAAAGATGCTGTCTCCAAACAAACAATCCTACACTTGGCTGTCGTCATGGAAGCTCCAGAGTGCCTGGAAATTCTGCTGAATAGGAAGAAATCTTCATCGCAGTTGGACGAACCTGACGACCATGGCTGCACCCCTCTGCATTATGCTGTTCAGCAAGCATCTAAACATAATTCTCAGAAAACGTTGCAGTGTATACGACTTTTGATAAAGCACGAAGCCTGGCTCTCTTGCATGGACGAACAACTGGACACACCTCTTCACATTCTGTCCAGAAGGAACCACGAGTTGGTTAGTCAGGGAGAACAATCAGTTCCTGATGCTTACTTCCAACTTTTTCTTGAATCCCCATCAGTTGATCTCGAATCGGTCAATCATAGGAATGAAATTCCTGAAACGAACGCTCCTGAACATTTGTTATCTCTTTTCAAGGATGCAAGATCAAAATCTGGAGAAAACTTCTGCTTGCAGTTGCTCAGGAAATTCTACCAGGCGCTTATGATATCCGACGAGCGCTTGCTAGTAAAATGTTTTCATGAATTCTTCCAGGCAACACACATTCGACCTCCGAGTATTTATTTCAGGGGAAATACTCTTCTCTTCTGTTTAACGGAGGTTGTTGAGTACGAGTACATTGAGTACGCAATGAGGACTTGGAACCTTGACCCATGGTTGCCGAACCCAGGAGACGGCAAGATCCCTCTACATGCTGCTCTGACCAAAGGGGATCTACCCACTGTTCATCTGCTAATAGAAGAGATGAAGAAAAAGAAGTCAGGCAGTTTTACTTTGAGCAGGAGGATTAACTTGACTTCTTTCAGTGCAGGCTTATTTAGAAAGGTATTGTTGAATCACCACCCATCATCACCTACCACACGAATCTACAACCCTATTGGATGCCTCAAACGCCTATTAGAACCTGACGTAATCATCGATGTGAATGACACTTGCCGGTCTTTGAAGATTTTGACTCCATTGGATATCGCCTATCTAATCGAATGGCCACAAGCCGTGAGAGCTCTAGAAGAAAATCATGCGCAGAAATCTGAGTCCAAGTATTATGGTGAGAATTCTACAGAAACAATTTTTAAAATGTTCATTTTGACTAATACGATCATTCAATAGGTTTCCGTCACCGCGACCGGGATTCGAATATTTTTGCATAGCTCCTTTTCAACAGCACCATGAAATTTTACAATGATTTACAACAAATTGAGTACTTAACTAAGAGGTCGATAAATGTATCAACTTATCTGTCTACAGTTTAAAAAATTATAACTGAAGAACATTAATATCTTTAATAATTTTATTAGATAACTGGCAATGAAATAATGTGCACGGGACTATCATCCGGTGGTCATAAAAGTCCTGCAATAGCTTTTTATTTTTACAGATGTTCGCAATTTGGACAAATTCTTCGCAGCGCTGAAGGCAGATGACCGCGATACGCTGGAACTTCAGTATTCTCTTCACCATACCGTGTTTAATTCAAATCTTGATACTCTGACTGATCAAAAGAAGTCCATCCTACACTTGGCTGTAGACTACGAGTCCAAACAATGCTTGAAATTCCTGCTGAGGGAGCGCGTTTTCCTCGATGCCCTGAACAATCCTGACGTCCACGGACGAACCGCCCTGCACTACGCAGTCGAAAAGGCCGCTCTAGGGTGGAGCCTTTTCGGCTTCGAGTGCGTGAAACTACTTTTTGAAAGCGGAGCCCACGTCAACGCCAGAGACGAAAACGGGGATTCTCCATTGCATATGTTCGTCTTAACCATCTTAAAACAGGTCCGGATTAACGAAACTGGGTCCCTGCAATGCTTGAAGGTTCTTTTATCGCATCAGAGAATCGATGTCAATGCTTTGAATGGTTCCATGAAGACTCCGCTATCTCAACTCTTAACATCTCTAAATGAGGGAGTCGGGTTTAAAGCCACAGTGGTCACCGAGTTCATTATTGCTGGAGCTACGCTGCCTGAAGTAGAAGCGTTGCGTATGAAAGAACTGGGAATATCAACACATTTCTCTGCTCCCACTGAAGTGCCATCGTCCGAAAGTTTCCAGTGGAAACTGCTCAACAGCATCGTGAGTAGAGATTTTGAGCTAGTTAGTTCAGATATCAGAGAAGGCAAGTTTTCCATTGCAAACCAGTACGTTGGAGCCAGATCTATTCTGTACCAATTCATAGAGTCCTTGGATTTCGACGCCATCATGTCTTTGATGCAAAGTGGAATTGACCCTTGGATGAGGAACATCAAAGATGGCAAACTACCTCTCCATGCTGCGCTTGAGATCGGAGATGTCGAAATCACTAAACTTGTTCTTGATTCAATGAAGCAAGCGTACTCCAGTTCGATCGTCGATTTACAAGAAGACACATTCAGTCTACTTCAAACTCTGATCTGCAACGCAACCGCAGGCCGCCAAAACAAGGACTACACTCGCGGAGATCACGTTGGGTGTTTAGAAGTGTTGTTGAGTCCAATTTGTTCCATGGACATCAACCAGACAAGTAGAAGTGCCGATTGCTCGTTGGCGGAATTGGTATCTTGGACATCCAATGATGAAATAAAGGAGCTGCTTCTTCAACACACCGGCATTGCGTTTTCACCACAGCAATCGGAATCCGGTGAGTTGATTTTTTTTATATTTGAAATGGTGCATGCATCTCAGTGAGTTGAAGAGGCATTCAATGTTGAACATTGGCAGGTGATGATGGTATTTTGTTTTATTGGTCATATAGTAATAAAAAATAAATAGTCAATGTATACAATACAAGCAGTAGATTTTTGTTTTTATTTTCGAAATAAAGGATGAAGGTTGCACTAAGATCGGAATAAGTAATAAAAAAATCTAACTTCAGACTAATTGTACATATTTTTTCAAGAAGTGAACTTTCCCACAGTCAAATTGTAACGTTTTACTGTTTTTTCCAACAACCGGACAAGGTTCGGTTGTGATGACAACCGGATAAGGTCCGGATGTCATTACAAAACACGTCAATCTTTAGTTCTTTAATTGTATTTTACTTCGAAGCTCTTTAGTATAAATATTTGTCTCCGTTGAAACGAAACCAAACGGAAAAAAACTATCAATTATAAGTATTAATGTTCATTTTCAACTATTGTTCGCAGGTTCAAAAAGGACACCAACTTACTACACATTCGAAAACATTTTCAAGTTGGGTAACAGAGACAGACTGGAGATTGAAATTGCCAAATGCGGAAACGACCTCGAGTCCGTCATGAGATTGCCAGGAACAACCGAAAACCAAACAATCTTCCATATGGCAGTCCGCGAGAGTGCGACAGATTGTCTGCAGTATCTTCTACTGAAATCCACTGACCGTTTACAGGTCAACTTACCAGACGAGAACGGATTCACTCCACTACATATCGCGGTTCAAATCGCAGCCAATAATTTGACCACTCTTAACTTGTCGTGTCTGAAACTTCTGTTGTTGAAAGGAGCCAATGTGAATGCCAGAAACAACGATGGTGACACTTGCCTTCATCTCCTTGCCAGAATGATGTGCACTAGAGAAAATAAACCGGTTGACGGAATCTTGACGTGCCTCGAAAGCCTTTTGAAAATGCGGACTGTTAATAAGAAGCCCGTAAATAACTTTTTACAAACGCCGCTAGATATCTTAAAAGATCATGCAGATTATCCGACGTCGGTCATGCAGCAATTCGAAAACCTTTTACTGGAAAGTCAAAGAATCGGTAAATCAACTGGCCGCAAGATCCAGAAAGCTATGCTACACGAAAATCTATGTGGAGCTTTAATGTCAAGTCTTGTCAGTCTCGACAAGAACCACAACCTGGTTGACCAAATCAATTCTTGGATGAGCCCTGGCAAATCATTGTCCAATCAATACATTGGACGGAAAACCCTTCTGTATCAGGCTGTTGAAAAGGGGGATCTGACACTTATAGATATGCTCATCCGTAGCGGCTGTGATCCATGGATGCCGAATATCGGAGACGGAGAGATCCCCTTACATGCCGCCCTTGAAAAGGGGGACGTCGATGAAGTCGTGGTTATCCTCCAGCACATGAAACGTACGAGGAATATTACTGAACGTTTACCTTTGGAGCCGATGAGCTTTAGTTTACTTGCCAGCTTCCTGTGCAATAACCATCCGAAAGAAAATCGAAGCAAGTGTCTTGTAGAACTTCTTCAAAATGCCGACTTGAATGTGAACCAAATTATGGAGTGGGTTTATCCTGGCTCCACGTCTACAATCCTGCAATTGTCTGCTGGCACCATCGCCGCATGGACAGCAAATTCGGAAGCTGTTCAACTTCTGTTGGAAGCTGGATCAACGGTACCAATCCTACCATCGGGGATACGTAAGTAAACCGCATAGTCGAACCTTTTTATGCATAAAAATTCTCGGAGGCACTGTTTTTGCTGAATTATATATTGATCTGAATAATGCATGTTGATGCAGGAGTCATGTTTTTATGTTCTATCGATCGTAATTTTCCTCGCAATCACTCACTATCCTAGCTAAGGCCGTCAGATAGAGTTACTTCTGTGCAATTTAATTTTATCGACTTCTTCAAGTGGACAACTCTAGTTGCATAATTATGGTAACCTTTTGCATGAATTTGTTCATTGAATGTTGCAGACGAATTTCCTCTCGACTGGAACTCGCTTATGGATATCTTTGAGGAAGATGAACGACCAAGATTAGAAGTTGAACTTGCCCGACATGGTGGCGACCTCTCCCAACTCATGCGTTTGCCAGGAGCTCCTTTGAAAGGAACCATAGTGCACGCAACTGTCTTGTGTGGTGCTCTAGAATGTTTGAAGTTCATTGTACGAATGAAAACCAGCGATCTTGATCTGGACGAACCTGATGCTGAAGGTAGAACAGCATTGCATTATGCGGTGGAGCTCGGCCATCACAATCAAGATCCTAAAGTCCTTCAGTGTCTCTTGCTTCTTCTCGAAAGTGGAGCGAATGTGAATTGCAGGGACGAAAATGGCGATTCTATTTTGCACAACTTGCTTCAAATGGACCTACTTCAACCCATAAAGTATTCAAAATTATTTATGATATGCATCGAACGCATCTTAAGTTTCGAGCATCTACAGATGGATGCTGTGAACGCCAGTGGATTAGGCCTACTAGATATCAAGCACAATTTTAGTGATGCACTAGATGACCAAAATCTACTGTATCAAAAAGTCAAACAAAGATCGGAACAGAAAAGTGGAAGTCCTGCTGGCAGTTTATCTAACTCTATCGTCAAGAAAGATTTAGGATCAATTAAGAAGTACTTAAAACTCTCAAAGCATACTGAAATACAGCATGGGTATATCGGAGCCAAAACTGTTCTACATCACTTGACCGTCTCGGAAAATGTACCTTTTATCGAACAAGCCTTGAAAGATAACCACAACCCATGGAAGCAAAACGTTGATGATGGCAATATACCTTTGCATGCAGCTCTAGCCAGCGGCAATCTTCCGATTGTTGAATGTCTTTTAACCAAGATGAAAGAAATATCTTCCTCGCCTCTGCTGGATTTTGGTTCGATGAGTTTCTCGTTGATCCAGAGTGTGCTTTGCTACGCTGTCCATTACTGGATTGAGAACTCTAAACGAAGCCCAGACCATTATGCCTGCCTGAAGTCACTTCTCGAAAGCTGCAAGACGGTGGAAGAAACTTGTATTATCCCACTGACCAACGAGAGAATCTCGGTGTTCGATTTAACGTCTGGAAAGAGCATGAAGCCATTTAGATCACTTCTGCAACAAAAACTGAAAAACCAGCGGCCGATTCTCAATGGTAAGTAGTTTATCTTGGAATCTTGCATGCTGTCGTTGAAAAATATATCCCATTCAGGACTAGACCCATACACTCATCACCGCTACCAGCCGTGGTTATTGGTTATTTGAAACAAGATAGACGATTTATGCACGATGGTTCGTTTCATACGAGTTTCACAAACTAATTTATGTGATGGTACTCATTCTTGGATTCAGGTTTCCTGTCAACTTTAAGTCAAAATTTGATCGAAATTTCCTATTGTCAAAGACCCAATAAAAACTGATTGGATATAATAATTTAATTTTTAACTTTATCGTGTATTAATCCATTATTGATTAAATATTTTGCTATTGTTTTCTCGGTGGTTCTAGGGATTTAAATATTCCTTCCTCACAATTTGCTAATATCTTTCCTTCTTCATAGAACCTCCTCCACTGACGGTTGAAATGGCGACTAAAATATTAGAAACCGATGACAAGCATTCACTAGAAATTGAATTTGCAAGAAGAGGCAACGATTTCCACTGTTTACAGCACCCTACTGGGGCCAAAAATGGCCGCAACATCTTACATTTGGCGCTGGTCCATCAAGCTGTTGAATGTTTTCATTTCCTATTGGAAAAATGTCCAGAGAAGGAAATTCTTGACGTTCCGGACGAAGACGGTAATACGCTTCTTCATTATTCGGTCCAACTGAGAATCGGTAAAATTCTTCCATGCATGAGGAGAACTGATGACCAATCTGAAGAGGCTGAAGATTCAAAAAGGTTCCGGCATGGGTTCATGGAACCAACTTTGACACTGCAATTGATTAGGAACGGAGCATTCATAAATGCTCGTAACAACCTTGGTAACAGCCCGCTGCATACGTTGGCTTTGCAATGCAAAGACAGAACATCCCTCGAATGCAATTTTTTACAAAGAACTTTGAAAATTGTTCTGAAAGATGCCACCACCGATATTGACGCCATCAATGCTGAACGAAAAACACCGTTAGACTTACTGGAGTCAAATTTATCAGATGAAAACGACAGCGTTCTGTCTTGTTCCAAAATTTTGGTTGATCATGGAGCATTCGTATCCAGCAAACTCAAGTTCGTTCTGACCTTGCATTGCAAGAACATGAAAAGCCCACAAAAACGTGTTAAAAGATCCGGCTTTTCTGAACTACTGCATTTCATATTCTTCAGGGATGAACCATCAATCAAACGACTACTCAAGAAAAATGCACAGAAAATCATACACGATTGGGAAAGCCGATTCATTAGTAACACGATCTTCCTCCACTACCTGATCCTGAACTTCCAGCATGACATGGTGGAATGTTTTCTGACTTTTGGGGGAGACCCATGGAAGAAAGATCAGTTCTCGAACCTACCTCTGTCCACGGCGTTCAGCATTGGACATTTCAACACAGCAGATATCCTTGTACATATGATGAAAGATTACCGAGAACTAGAGATTTTGGATCTCCGGCATCAAAGCGATGCACTTTTCGGGAGCATAATATTGAACATGCGACGAGAGAACAAACCGATTGAAATGAACTTCTACAAGTGCATTGAACGGCTCTTCAGGAACGATGTGAAAGTTTCCGTGTCACAAGATACGCTGAAACTCGTCTCCGAAGAGGGAGACGCTGAAGCCATTCGGCTGATTTGGAAAGCTGGTTAGAGTAAAACTCTTATTGCGATCATTAAATCTTGAATTTTGGGGAACATTACTTTTCAAAATGTGAACATACATTATTTTGCAATTTTTCATTGTATAATAGTTATGGTTTCGACAGGAATCTTGATAAGATCAAACCTCATTAGGGAGGCGGAAGACATTTTCAGCTAAAAATGTAGCACGTGAAACCCATCGCATACAGTGAGATACAATGTTATATGCATTGCAAGAACATGAAAAGCCCACAAAAACGTGTTAAAAGATCCGGCTTTTCTGAACTACTGCATTTCATATTCTTCAGGGATGAACCATCAATCAAACGACTACTCAAGAAAAATGCACAGAAAATCATACACGATTGGGAAAGCCGATTCATTAGTAACACGATCTTCCTCCACTACCTGATCCTGAACTTCCAGCATGACATGGTGGAATGTTTTCTGACTTTTGGGGGAGACCCATGGAAGAAAGATCAGTTCTCGAACCTACCTCTGTCCACGGCGTTCAGCATTGGACATTTCAACACGGCAGATATCCTTATACATTTCATGAAAGATTACCGAGAACTAGAGATTTTGGATCTCCGGCATCAAAGCGATGCACTTTTCGGAAGCATAATATTGAACATGCGACGAGAAAACAAACCGATTGAAATGAACTTCTACAAGTGCATTGAACGGCTCTTCAGGAACGATGTGAAAGTTTCCGTGTCACAAGATACGCTGAAACTCGTCTCCGAAGAGGGAGACGCTGAAGCCATTCGGCTGATTTGGAAAGCTGGTTAGAGTAAAACTCTTATTGCGATCATTAAATCTTGAATTTTGGGGAACATTACTTTTCAAAATGTGAACATACATTATTTTGCAATTTTTCATTGTATAATAGTTATGGTTTCGACAGGAATCTTGATAAGATCAAACCTCATTAGGGAGGCGGAAGACATTTTCAGCTAAAAATGTAGCACGTGAAACCTATCGCATACAGTGAGATACAATGTTATTTTTGTGTTTGATTGAAGTACACATTCATATAATTTGTGCCTATAAGATCATCGATTTGGAGCACTTTACTCATAATATCTAAGCTGATATTTTTTGTACTTATTACTATATCGTCTATATTTTTGCAGAACCTTTACAGTGGTCAGACGCACTTCGCATTCTAGAAGAGAACGACTCGAAAAAACTAACGAAAGTCTTGAACAGAGTTGACAACCGCATTGAGTTCATCCTTCGTCCAACTGGAGCTCCGAATGGAATCACTATTTTGCACGCCGCTTTTGGTTAGTGCTTGTTATTTTATTAATATAATTCAGGTGATATATTTGCGACATTTTTCAACTAAGATTCTACAACAATGGTTGTTGCTCATGAATATCAATTGATCGTTTAATAAGCTTATGGTTCTGTGGAGACCACTTCAGGAAACTACTTTCCACGAAATAAAATCGACAGATTCGAGCTAATTCACGTGCTTCTGGTGTGCAGAATTCTCTTTGTCCAAGAAGGACGAGTGTTTCGACATCCTTTTGGACTGCGTGCAACAATCAAAGGACCAGTTCCAAGATTTCAACGATTATCACGTGATAAGCAGTCCTCTAAATGAACCTAACGAGAACGGGGAAACAGTTCTACACAAAGCAGTTAGTCATCTCGCGTGTCAAACTGTTGAAAAACTTCTTTATCTCGGTGCTGACGTCAACGCGCGCGACGATGATGGAAACTCTCCTCTTCATATGCTGACTAAAAGTTCCTCGAAGAAAGCTTTAGTTTCAGATGCGTGGTATGCAACTGCTGACGCTCTGTTGGCATGTCCACATCTTGACACGTACGCTTTAAACTGCGCAAATGAAAGTCCTGTGGATGGTGGCACTCAAGCTGCCATGAGGTTGAAGTGGAAGATCGATGAGAGGAACTCGACCGCCGCTGAAGAAACTCGATGTCCAACATCAGCACTGTACGATTGTTGTCTCTCCAGAAGCGTGGAAGAAATTTCGAAGTTTTTCCATTCATGTAATCCAGACGAGCCTTTGTGCAAGAGCCAGTACGTTGGTTCCCAGACTGTACTTTGCTTCGTGGTATCTTTTGTTGACCATGAGATTCTGGAAGAGTTTTTGGAAATGGGGTACGATCCTTGGCAAAAAAATGTAAACGGGAAACTTCCGCTTGGGGAGGCACTGCGACTGGGATATTACCAAAGCGTGGATCTCTTGATTGAATGGATGAAGAAGAAGAAAAGTCAAAAGTACATTGACCTTGCGGACCTCAGTTTCGAGTACCTAAACCTTACCTTGGTAAACGGTGAAACTGAAGATAGCCACTCAGGTCCAGCTGTGGACCACACAAAGTGCTTAAAAAGGATCCTGCGCGAGGACGTCTTGCTAGATGTTAACGCACTGGATACCAGAGGTGACGGTTCGAACGCATTGCAGGTAGCCGCCGTCGTCAACAATCAAGAGGCCATGCAGATGCTCATTACAAAAGGAGCTTTCATCGGAACCAAACGCAATGTCAACGGACGGGAGAGTGAAGGGGTCTTGACCGCCGTTTTACCCGAAACACTGAACTCTGCTATCAACAATTGTGTGAATGTTTACAATAACCAGATTTTCGAAGACACCGATGTTGCTCATCCACAGTTCGCGCTGAAGCTGGACTGCAGTTTCCTTCTTTTCTCGCCTAACCCCAACCAAGCGCGGGAAAAAGACCAAAGTTTTCACAACACCACGCGGTTTCAGATAGCAGAAACTGTCTTAGTGTTTACAATAACCAGATTTTCGAAGACACCGATGTTGCTCATCCACAGTTCGCGCTGAAGCTGGACTGCAGTTTCCTTCTTTTCTCGCCTAACCCAAACCAAGCGCGGGAAAAAGACCAAAGTTTTCACAACACCACGCGGTTTCAGATAGCAGAAACTGTCTTAGAATTAGGTGAGGATCCGAGCCATCAGGATGTTTTACAACTCCCACTCATGGAAGCTTTGCTCGACGCCAAATGGAGTTCTGTATACGACCTTATTGTTGTCAATGCCATGTTGACCTTTTTGTTCCTGCTACTTACAATTACTCAATGCATTTTGATCAACGTCGGTATGAACAGTGGTACGTCTACTCAAGTCATCGCCAACTCCACCTTCCCGAATTCGTTAGACCATGACTACCGGGCGCCCGTCACGACAGTCGGAATAATATTAACGTTACTGGCCGTTTTCTTGGCGCTGAGGGAAACTTTGGAACTAGTTACAACTTTCAGGTTCTATTTCCGCCGCCTGGAGAACTACTTCGAGTGGTTCTTGATCGTGTCGTCGGTGGTTCTAAGTTTCGTTGCCATTGAACACACCGACGCCGTGCACCTCACCGCCTGGACTGCGCTCATTGCTTGGTGAGTCTTTTATTAACAATCTACCGCCTGACATGAGTAACCGGGGCAATATTGTCACGCGCCTACTTCCCGAAAAGGGATACGTTCTAGTGAGCGCAAAATGACTTGCACTGATGGTTGCCGCCACGTACGACAACTTTAAAATGTTCTCTGTTGCTTACAAACGTCCTCAGATTGCTACACTCAATAGTTTACGTATAATTTAAGTTGAAAGTTACTTTAAAATGTTCTCTGTTGCTTACAAACTTCCTCAGGTTACTACCGTGTATAATTAAACCTTAGGTTACTTAGGATGGTTATTGATCAAATAGTCAATTATTTCATCATATCTAATTGACGTTTGGAACGTTTAGAATGGCTATCCATAAAATAGTTAATCATACATACTTAATTAAATTTTAGCGTATTTAGTATGGGTATTGATTGAGTAGTTAACGATTTCATCTATATTTAGATTTTTGACTATTCATAGGTTACAATATTAATTGGTACGCTATTCATTTCAGTTCGAAATGCTTCAACTCAAAAATTAGCTCAAAGAGCATTTTAATCTATTAAAATTTACAACACGAACAAGCTTGAACAGAATACGTTGCACTTCCGCCGAGAAAATGGTTCTCACAGGAAAAATGTATTTGCCAACGAATGTATTCTGGTTGACGTTTCAGCTACGAGCTGCTGCTGACTGGGGAGCACGTAATTCCGGGCCACTACATCGGCAAGTTTCGGTTCACGGTTCGCAACATCAGCCGGTACTTCGCCTGGTTCATGATACCCATGCTGGCGTCAATCATCAGCCTCTGGTTCATATACGCACCAGTGAGTCATAATAATTCCTCATGCTAAATTAATAATATTGGTTCATTATTTGTGTATGTGTTATGGAGACTTTTAAGTATATATATCGCTTTACTATTTTAATGTATGCAATCAGAAACATATTTTTTAGCCCTGTTCGCCATAAAATTTATAATCACCTTATTATATCAAATTACTCGAATCATTATACACATTTTTTAGCCTTGTTTATCATAACATTTTAAAATTTAATTTTTCCAATTTAAACAAATCAACGTGCACATTTTTCAGCCTTGTTTACTCTAAAATTTACATCTCCTTATTAAATCAAATTACTCAAATAAACATGAATTTTTTTAGCCTTATTTACAATAAAATTTATAATCACCCTTTCATTTCAATTCATTCACATTAAATTACCCACTTTTTCAGTCTCAATTACCATAAAATTTCTAATCTCCTTGTCATTTCAATTTACTCAAATCAACATGAATAAATTTTAGCCTAGTTTATATTAAAATTTATCATCACCTTATCATTTCAATTTACTCATATCAAATTACAAATTATTTTAGCTTGTTTGCAGCGAAATAAATAAACAAAAATCCGCCTCCAGGAGGGCGTGGAGTCGTCGTACTCGCACCACGTCGCCCAGATGTACTCCATGGCGCTGGGGGACTTCGAAAACGGTCTCGCACATGAAAGGCGGAATGCGTATTGAATGTCTCTTTCAACAGAAATTCACGATATAACGCACAATTCCACTCAAATAACAAAATTAGGATTATTAAAAAGTCAACAGTTACTTTTACCATATATTAACAGTATCTTTTACCATATGTTAATATTATTTAATCAACAGGAATTCACAAACAGCGTCCAATTCCACGCCAAAAGGAGCAAGTGGAAGGTGGTAGTTCGGTACGAGAAGGCCTTGGACAGCATCATGTTCTTGAGGAATATGTTGCCTAAAGGTTACATGTCCCACTACATCGACCGTTTCATAAGGAGGTTCCAACAACCTAACTGCAAAAAACCTACAATTCTCCTCAAGCTCAACGCCACGAACGTCAAGGAAAGAATGATTCTCAGCGACGGAGTACACGAATACTACAGGAGCGTCTCGGATAAACTGGCCTACAAGTTCAGGTAGGATGAACCCTTTTATTTAGGGTGATTGTTTACGAATTAATGTTCAAGTTTGTGTGGGTAAACAACATTTATTTAGGCTTTGAAATAGATCTTTTTGCATATTTGTTTTGAAATTATTAGATAAGAATTGTATACATGGGTGAATTTACATTGTATACCAATTAATGCAATTAGTTGAGTGCAAACGGATGATGCTCTAATTTGTTAATTAATATAATTGAATGGATGCATAATTTTTTTCGAGTTATTACTCCTGAATGTATATCTATGTATATATTATACTACTATACAATACAATAAACTATATTTTTCAGGAGTATATACCTGGCCAACCTGAAACTCAACGAGGAAGGTGCAGGTGTGGAATCCAAGCTCGAGACCGTGAGCCAAAACCTCAAGAAGTTGATGCAGAACAACCAATCCATGGCTAACCGCCGAGCGTCCATGGCTAATCCATCAAAGTCTAAATCCACTTCCTTTGTCTCTACTGCTGGCAAAGGCACCACCAAAACCACCAACAACAATAAAGGCATTAACCGTAATGCTGAGACTACTTCTTCAAACTCTGAAATTCAGACCTCGAATTCCGAAGACCTGGGGCCATTAGACCCTTCTGTGGGACCTGTAACTAAAAACGGGACAAAGTCTGATGAAGGTCTGACATCGGCTGTCAAGTCCACCGCTAAGTCCCAATCAAATCCCGCTGTGGGACCCGTAACTAAAGGGGACAAGAGTGGGACAAAGTCGGATGAAGGTCTGGTATCAAGTTCCATCAAGTTCAGCCGAAAGTTGCCCGGCAAACAGCGTAAAGTTACCTCATTCAAACTTGACCCGCCGTCTATCAACATCAGCAGTGTTGACTGGGACGAGGATGAATCCAGCATGTGAATAATATTATAATTTTTTGTGTGAGATGAACTTTATTATTTTTTTAACTGGGTTGAACTTTATTTAAGATAGTTCGGCAGGCTCAGTAGTGTAATTTAACCTTACTTTTATGACGGGTGATAGACAGGATCAATGAGATGTAAATAATTGTATAGAGGTACAAAAATATAGCTAAATTTATCGCATCCATTTATTTTATTTGTATAGAGGTAATGGTATAATATATATTTACGATACACAGTTTATGTTACTGGTACAGTGTAGTTACAATGATATGGCACTGATACAGTATAGCTGCAATGAAAAATGCTGAAATGGTTATATAGATAAAGTGAGCCTAGGAATGTATGTAGCTGAACCCATTGACCCCGCAGGTCACGCTTGATGTATAACGTTCACATAAAACAAATCGTATAGTTTCCTTTTTTTAGTATAGTATAGTATAGTATCTTCGGCATTGAAGAATAGGCCTGGATAGGCCTGTCGCCGATTCTTGTACAGTTTATATTTTTGCAGGTAAATATCCCATCTACAGGAACTAAAGAAAACATTTTACTAATTAATTCAAAAAATTTGCTAACATCGAAGCATTGTAATATATATTTTATTTATTTGTATTTAGTTATATGTTATTATGTATATAATTTAGTTGGTTATGATTGCAAACATGTCTATATTTTTACGTTTGTTGCTTTGTCTACCAACTATACCGTTAGTTAGCAGTTATAGCTTAGAGTTTTGTGATGCTATGCTGATGCACCACCTTCGTCGCTCACCAGAGACATTGGAAAAACGAATTGAGCTTCCGAACTATTAATAAAATAATGTGATTGTTTAATAAGTATGTGTTTTAAACTGGGTTAACGTATAAAAAAAGGTGATGTTATATTAATCTTCTAGAAAATAAGTTGAAGTGATTATCTATAATATTTAATTTGTTATATATAGTAAAATTAATCTGTTACTTATTGAGAAATTGATTTTTATTTATAGGAAAATTATTTTGTTAGTTATAGTGAAAATAAAATTGTTATATATACATCTAAAAATTGATTCATTATTTATAGATAGATTAATTTTTTATTTTAAAATAATACTTTAAGATTGTTTCATTTAGAAATAATTTCAAAGTGAACCGTGATATTTAGGCGGTGGCCATAATAAGACAATTTGCACACATTGATAATTTTATTGATATATTGCAACTGCAAAACATCAATAGCAATAAAGAATGAAATGGCGGCATAAAATGCTAACAAGCACTCTGAAAATAAGCGAGTTTTTGTCCAATTCGCGATGCGAATCGCTTAGAGAAATGGTCGAGTCTCTGCTTAAATCGCGTTCATGTTCTCGCTCTTTTGTGAGTCATCCTGACTCAGTTTGCCAGGGCGTATCAGTGCTACGTCCGCTCTCGTCTCGTGCTGTGGGTGAGAAACTGTGTCAATATTTGAACAATTTGATCCATTCATTTTTAGCGCATTTTCTCATTTATGGAAAAAATTCACTATTGTGCTCACCATGTCCGTCCGTCTGTCTGTCTGTCTGTCTGTCCGTCTGTTTGCCCGTCCGTCCGTCCGTGACCTCAAGTTTTCGTCGACGAGAAAATGCGCTCTCTGTCACTCACTGCAGTGAGTACTGAGTTATATTTTTTGTGAATGATATCCGTCTATGTTATTGCAAGGTAAACTAATCTATATTAACGAGCTCGCTTAATATGGTGCATGATTGTTAAGTTTCATTGATTAATTGTACTATATATTGTTAATTATATAGGGGATTGTACATATACTAGTTATAGACGTACATGGTGAGTGTGCTACCTAGTCTGTAGAATTTACGAATGATTCTATAGAGATTTAGGCATACATCTATGTTTTGATATATATATTTTTTTATTTTAACTTACCCCCGGTTCGTTTGGAAATTGAAAGAAACGGTACAGTTTTTAATTGTGTGAAATATTTTAATGAATTACCTGATGATTTTAAAATTGATTGTTCTAAATTCAGTTTGAAGACTAAATTCCGCGATTTTATTCTTACTCGTTATTGATTTGACTCTGATTAGTTTCGTAAGATTTTTGGTAATTGCCTTTTCTCAATAATATTTTTGAAAAATAATATGGTGTAAGACAACATTGTTTCGACTTTTCGTCTTAGTTGTATTTAACGTTTTTAGGTTGGGTTGTTATTGCCTTTGTTGAATATCATTTTTAGTCGCCATGCTAGTTATTCTTATATCAATTTTACTAAAGGTTAGTTTTTATCAGGATGTTTTCAATTTAGTCACTTTCAGTTCCTTTTCCCTTATCCCATCGTCATTATATGTTATTGTTTTTCGATTGTAATATCGCTAATGTCGCCTGTGAAGCTTTTTAGCTTATATGGGCATTCGCATGGAAGCATTTTGTTTTTTTTTTCTCAAAATTTTTGAGAAAAAAAAATATTAATTTGATTATTAATCGTACACTTCCTATAATGTTAAGCGAATGGGTGACATGAATGAGGGGGCCCTTTAGTCCCCCGTTAATGGGGGCCTTTTTATTGATGGAATACTTTTAATGGAATAATGGACGTTGTCCATTAAAATGACGTTGATTGGAATTTGACGTTGGAATGTTGATTTATTATGGTATACTTTAGTATCATAATGTTGGTCTGTTCAGTGATGTAAATATTGGTGCTGATTTATTATTAATATACATATTGCATACAAATACATATGTATACCCTATGATGACGCATTTTGCATAACAATATTTATATGAACTTTAATTCTTGTACGGTAATTATTATTCTGTAATTGTTTTTTCAGATTAAGATGCTGGAATGCCATATTTATTGTAGAATTAAAGGTTTCCATTAACTTAAAATACGTGCAATTCTGAAAATATCAGAAAAAAAAATTTTTCTTCTTTTTTTCCCCAATTTTATTCACGTGTAATAATGAGGATCAAATTATTTATTACAGCGAAACCTTTAATTTATTTAAGTTCATTTATAAACAATATGGCGCATTTATAAAAATTATGGAAACTTATTCATCAGTTGATGATAACGTTCACCAGGTCGTTGATGACAAACCACAAGTAATCCAATATATGTGTCATGTTAAAGTGATCCGAATGATATTGTCAAGAAACATGAAAGGAAGTATAACAAATAAGTAGGGCAATAATACAATATTTTATACAAGTTATATTCACACGAGATATTATCTGTATAGACTCATACAAGCTCTGGGATGAATAATGAAGCGTGCGATACACGAAAAACGGGTGGAAAAAGCATATTTTGGCCTAACCAGATGAGGACAATTTTGGCCTCACGAGCTTATGAGGACAGTTTTGGCCTCACGAGCTAATGAGGACAGTTTTGGCCTCACGAGCTAATGAGGACAATTTTTCCCTAATGAGGACAAACATTTGCCGCAAAATCAAATTAAAATTAACACACAAGAGAATCCATTTAATTAGTTGATAATTAAGTAGGTAGAAACAACACACAAAACAAAGCTTAACAAAAGGCGCGGTTAAG